TTATAATCACAAAATTCATCAGATCATTATTAGTTAAGCTGGTCGTGATGTAATATGATCACAGAGAAAGTTAGTGCACAAGACTAAAGAAGATGTAATTTATTGTCTTTACTACAACAACAACAACAACAACAGAATTATTAATATCCAGTATATATAGGGTGACAGGTCTCCTTTGAATGTTCAAATTCACAAGTTCAAATGATCAAAAAAAGCTGCGATATTGATTTCAATATTTATTAGTCACCTAACTAAATTGCTATCCTAAAAGTAGTAAACTTATGCTAGCGGATCAACTCATAAGTATCAGCATCTCATTCTTTTAGAGAATAATTCTCTGCATGCTTCCCCATGCATTTGATTCTCCAAAAAGTATAAGGATCTCCAGACTTACAAGCATATACCATACAGGTAGCAACAATGTTACTTTTTCCGATCCTTGCAGTTGTTATATGCATCTTTCTGTATGCTTGTAAACAAGTATTATTAAAGGGGAAAAAGGAGTAGAGTGTTGATTCTCTTTCATCATCCCTAGCAAACTTCCATCAGCAAGAACTTTGTACGTTTGGTGACTGGTGTATGCATTCTAGAGACTTGGTTGGACTAATCAAAGCAATAGTGAGAATTTGGTGGTAAATAGTTTTAACGGCTAGAAGCACTTAATCTGCCAATTAAGATCTCCCGGTAAATATCTGGCGGCGGACAAATTAATACATCATTATATAGCCAGTGAAGCAACTTAGAGAAAATGATTTACCCTTTCTCAGCCATCAAGTCAAAAGGCTAGGAGGGCAACATCAAAACTAAACTCGCACTTTCTGGATACCCTGGTGTGTGCAACACCTAATACGGGGTTGGTGAATGTTGATACTTGTTATTTGATCTAGTATAAAAGTAAAGTCTCAATTTTTCTGTGTGAACTTTGCGATGCTTAATGTCCTGTTTTTTTTAACCTCCTTCCAGAATTTATCCTACTTTTTCTTTTGATGGTATCTTTAACCAGTTTCTTATATGGAAGCTATGTAAATAAAAGAAACATGCGTAGAACTTACTGGAAAGATGCAGGATGAAAATACTTTTGCATTTCAAAATGATTAGGAAGATATTACTGTTTAAGATTCTGTTCCGACTGTTAAGAAGCTCAATGACATTCAATAGGATAGTTGTTTAATTTAGTTGGCACTGCACTGCCAATGAGCCGAGTATTTCAATTGCTAGAATGATATTTAATATTTGACATCAGTGTCCTAATAGGAAGGGAGCCTTTTAGAAAATGAATTATGTTCTTTAATGCACTTAATGGCTGTCTAATGTACAGTATAAATGCATCACTACGATGTTGACCAAATTCATATCCTAAATCAATGAAGAGCTATACAGTAACAAACATATGCCAAATGTAAAAGCTCCTAACAAGTATGGAGAACTATTCTGTAGAAAAACTAACCTATCAGTGCTGGAGACGAACCATTCAGGTGAAGTTCTAAGCCACAGATTCATTTATGTTCGTTTTAATAATGTTCACATGGGCAGTTATTGACATTGTCCTTTCGCTTGCTTTTTGCTATTACAGTCAGTTTGTGAAGACCGCTAGAAGGCTTACCATCTTGACAGATTCTAGCAGCGATGACATACGAGATAGAGACCCGATGGATATTGATCCTTGTTAACTGTACAGTTGATTGCTAGTAGTTTTTTCAACCTACTTCCTTTTCCTTCTTTGAGTTGTTTTTAAGAGTTGAACGGGAAATCTCTCCTTCAACCAATGTTTAGCAAATTATAGACTAAAAATTCAGCTTTGTTTAATATTTTCAATCTACCTGAATTTCTCAATGTTTAACTAAATATTATTGCATATAATTATAATTATTATTGCCAACTGTTTCCCTATGCACAACCAGCAAAGTCGTAATCAATGGAAGATATAAATTCCGTAAATGATATATAGAAACATACACTTAAATAAACAAAATAAATTAATGTTTCGGGTAAGTTGTTATTCACTTGGTATCATCAAGGATCCGAATAGTCATTTTCCTGAATTGGAGGCCGTTGCGCTATTCTTTCATCTCATTTTCAAAGTTAGACAAATGGTCCTTCAAAGACTGATTTTCATTTTGAGTTGAACGTAGCTTAGCCAATAATTCAGCTTTTGAGGAAGTTCCACCTTTCAAATCTTTCGCCTTTAATCCTCCCCCGAAGCTAAATACATGACTACGACTTTGAGGTCTAAAGCATTTTTCTACAATCTCTATGCTAGGAAGTGACGGTTCGGACTGCACCAATTCCTTGATTTGAGCCTACAAAGTATATAGAGAGATTTTTGTTAGATCACATAATAACTAAAAGTAAAGAACATGTTCAATTAACCAAACACACATGTTTCTCGATTGTTTCATTATCAACAAGTGTGTTATTCTTCTTGCGAGTCTCGAAGAAAATAGTTGCCAAATTTGGTGATTTGCCATCTTTTCCGCCCTTTACATAAAAGTAAATATGTCAAATAATGTCTCATCAAAATTAAGAAAACATAGATTTGATGATAACACTTTTTGATAAATAATCTCTCTAATTCTACCAATATGATGAAGCATCTTCAACTTAGTTTTATTTGCTGCATTCCTGTTACTTCTTGCCTATACTTGAGTAACAATATTAAATTCAAATGCTATAAATAAATTATCAGTTAAAAGATAATAGTATAAAAATAAAATTATACAACTAGGTATTATGTCAAACTTGAAAACTTTCAGTAGAAAAATATTCCTTTACCAACCACTCCCATTGTTTTTTGTCTACCCCCTTGGGCACATTCTTAAGAGCCTCTTTATTGGCTTACCCTTCACATACTTTGCATGCAATTGTCCTCTCCATTTGTTCCATAACTCTTTCATCCATCCCAAGATATGATTGCGATGAATATCCATGTCATCACTCTCACATTTATCCTGCAATATATCATGAGGATAATATAGGTTGATATCCAATATCATAACAGAAACTCCATGTGATAGACGAAAATATAGTTCTACAATGAGTCTTGAAATGATCTGGTCAAATTATTAATAAAAACTTTAGCTTTATTATATTTTTGTGAATTTAAAACATAGAGCTAGCAATTTTATTATATTTTAGTGAAAAACATGATAAAAACTCAATAACTAAGTACCAAGAATGGTAAGAAAAGAGGAATCAAAGAATAAATTGGAATAATCCATCCAGTTACCGTAACAGCTTCCCACATGTGATTTAACTTTTCCTCCTTAATGCAATTCCGCGATGATACTCCCAACGAATATATATTACGGTCACGAACTATTTTTCCCAAGTTCCTCAAAAATAGATTGTTATTCTTTCCAACTGTTCAATCTGATCCAAGTCATTAGTCCTTAATACCTTTGCTCCCAACACATTAAAAAATAAAGACAACTCGATAAGGGGTTCACACACAGTTTTAGACAACATACCACTCAGTGCAAGAGGAAGTAAATATTGTAGAAGAACATGACAATCATGACTCTTTAAGCCAGAAATCTTGTGCTCTTTCAAGTTAACACATTGAGAAATATTAGATGAAAATTCATCTGGAACCTTTAAATTCTTTAAGAAAAGGCATATGTTGTGCTTTTCTTGGGGAGATAATGTATAACATGCAGTTGGAACTTCATACTTTTCTCCATTTTTAATAGGGTGCAATTCCGGTTTAATATTCATTTCTTGCAAATCTAGCCGAGTTTTAATGGTATCCTTGATCTTTCCTTTGGCATTCATTATCATTCCCAAAATATTATTACATATTTTTTTTCGATATGCATAATATCCAAATTATGTCGCAACAAGAGAGATTTCCAGTATGGAAGTTCAAAAAATATACTCCTCTTATTCCAATTATCTTTTCGAACATCATGTGATATCTTGATCCTTTTCTTTGGATCCTTTGTCAATTGGAACCCTTTAAGATCTTCCACTTGATTAAGTATCTCAATACTAGAACGCATTTTGGTGGGAGCCTTTTCTCTTTTGTGCCATCAAATGACTCCTTATCATTCCTCCATTTGTGATTAAGAGGAAGGTAACACCGATGACCCATAAAACATTATTTCTTACTATTCTTCAATCTGATTGAGGAAGTGTCAATGTTGCAACATGGATATGCCAATTTACCTTTTGTACTCTATCCAGATAAATTTTTATATGTTGAAAAGTCATTGATGGTCCATAACAAAGAATCATGTAAATTAAAATTCTGTCGGGTTGATGCATCAAAGGTCTCAATACTAATTTTCCATAACTCCTTTAATTCTTGTATCAAGGGTTGAAGATATGTGTCAATTGCATCACCTGGACTATCAGGACCAGGAATAAGCATGAACATAATGAAATTTTCCTGTTTCATACACAATCAAGGTGGTAAATTATAAGGAATAAGCACCCCAAGCCAAATACTATATGAGGTTTTTAAATTCCTAAATGGTTGGAACCCATCACTAGCAAGTCCAAATCGAACATTACGAGGCTTGGCCGCAAATGAGGGATGAAGTTCATCAAATGATTTCCATGCCATTAAATCAGCTGGGTGCCTCATTGTTCCATCATCAACTCTTTTATTATGATGCCATGTCATTAGAGAAGATGTCTTTGTAGACATAAACAACTTTTGAATCCTTGGCTTCAATGGAAAATAGCGTAATGTCTTTGATGCTATTTTTTTACCATTCTTATTCTTTGTTTCCCCGCTTTTCTTTTTTCCATCTGTATGCACCACAGACTTTACAGGAATCAAAAAAGTTATCTTTCCTCCAATATAATATGTAATCATTTATACAAGCATCAATTTTTTGGTAGGACAACCCAAGGTCCTGAATCACCTTCTTTGCCTCATAATATGAATTTGTATCACGACCCAAGTTCTCTCTCCGTGAACTGTCATGACGACATCTAGTCTCTACGACTAGGTAAGCCTAATCAATTTGCGGAAAAATGAATTAAGGGTACAAAACTAGCCAATTAACAGGTAAATATGATAAAAGAGTTTAAAATACCGCTCGGCATATACAATAATAACACTCTCGACTGAACATAGCACTCCCAAAACCCGAAATCTCATGAATCACAAGATAAAGAAAAATACATAGTATTCTAATTCCAGACGTCTAAACAATGGAAAATACAAGAAGTCTATAACTGAAAGGAGAATAGAGAGGGACTTCTAGGTCTGCGGACGTGACAGATATACCTCGAAGTCTCTGGATCGCCTCGCCTTATGGATAGTATGGCTGAGCAGAAGAACCTGGATCTGCACACGAAAAACATGTGCAGGAAAGGGCATGAGTATACAACAGCGGTACCCAGTAAGTGCCAAGCTTAACTTTGGTCGAGTAGTAACGAGATCAGGTCAGGGCCCTACAGGTTATATATACATAACAAGGTAAAACCGTATGAAAAATGACAGTATAATTAAGATATTAACAATCAATAAAGAAGAAATCACAGAAAAAAATAACTCAGTACACAAAGATAGCAACAAGGGATCTCTCAGGATAATGTCCCGTAGTCCCAAACGTAAATGTACAGAGGATCTCCCAGGATACCATCCTGTATTACAAATCATAAATGTGCATGGGGATCTCCCGGAATATCGTTTCGTAGTCCCAAGTAAATATCCAGTACGAGGGGATCTCCCGGGATACCATCCCGTAGTCCCAAATATAAATGTGCAGGGGGATCTCCTGGAATACCGTTCCGTAGTCCCAAGGCAAATACTCAATCAAATCAATATACACAACAGTCTCAAGGAGGAAGTCTATAGTTCTATTTAAGTTTGTATTAAATAAACAGGTAATTTCTACCCTAAACATGCTACACAGAATCCAAGTAAGCAATTAAAGCAGGTAAGACAGTTAAGTCACGTAAGCATGCTTTCCTAAGCTAAACAAGAGGCTTCATATACTGGTATTTGCTCTATTTAAAGAAAAACATAGATACTTGCTTAATGAAAACGGGGATTTTCAACAATTAGCACATGTACGCACTCGTCACCTCACGTACACGACATTCATATAACAACAGTACCAAAATCATAAATGAAGTTTTCCTACACAAGGTTAGACAAGCCACTTACCTCGAACCAAGCTCAAATCAATCCGATATCATGTTCCTGCCATGAGTATCCAACTCCGAGTGGTCCAAATCTAATCAAATCAATTACATAACGTAAATAAAACTACAAGCAACTAGTTTAGCTAATGAATTTAAAGCTAAGACGAGAAAATAGGAAAATGCCCAAAAATTCTCCTCGAGCCCACATCTCGAAATCAGGTAAAAGTCATAAATTATGAACACCCATTCACCCACGAGTTTAACCATACCAAATTCACAATTAAAATCCCAAAATTAGGCCTAAGAATTTTTCTCAATTTTCCCCAATTTTTCATCTTAAGCCCGAAATTAAATGATGAATTCATATCTAGATTAATGGGATATAATAAAAAAATAGTTAGGAATCATTACCCACAAACTTCCTCCGAAAATCTCTCCAAATTTCGCCTTCTACCGAGCTCTCAATCAATTTTTGAAGTTATGAACTCAAACCCTCGTTTTTGAACTTTAAATTCTACCTAGATGCATTCTTCTTTGTGAACGCGAGACTACCATCGCGAACGTAATGAACAAAATTCCATTGCCCCAAATTCCTCCTTCGCGAATGCGAGGGTCCTCTCACGAACGCGTAGCTTACACTGGTGGACCCTTCGCGAACGAGAGGACCATGTCGCGAACGCGTAGGCTTAAGGTCCACACCTTCTCGAATACAGAAGCATCACCACGAACGCAAAATACAACTTAGCTGCCTCTCCCAGATGCTATACGCGAACGCGAGACCCCTCTCGCGAACGCAATGAAGGATTCTTCTGCAACAAAACACCAGAAAATCTGCCACTTCTATAAGTCCAAAAATGACCCGTTGAGTATCCGAAACATACCCGAGGCCCCCGGGACCTCAACCAAACATACCAACCAATCCTAAAACATCATACGAACTTATTGAACCATCAAATCACATAGAACAATGCTAAAATCACGAATCACCCTCCAATCCAAACTTAATGAACTTAAAATCTAAAAATTCTACAATTGATGCTGAAACCAACAAAACTACGTTCGATTGACCCCAAATTTTGCACTTAAGTCATATTCAACACTATGGATCAATTCCAACTTTCGGAATCAGATTCCAACCCCGATATCAAAATTTCCACTATCGGCCCGAAATTCTAAAAATTCAACTTTCGCCATTCAAGCCTAAATAAGCTATGCACCTCCAAAACACAATCCGTACACGCCCCTAATCCCGAAATCACCCAATGGAGCTAACAAAATCGACGGAATTCCATTCCAAAGTCGTCTTCACACTGCTCCGATTATGGTCCAAATTCTAAGACTTAAACTCTCATTTAGGGACTAAGTGTCCCAAAACACTCCGAAACTGAAGATGAACCATCCCGGCAAACCACAATAGCAAAAAAAGACACGGGAAAAATAGTAATAGGGGATCAGGGTATTAATTCTCAAAACGACCGGCCAGGTCGTTACATCCTCCCCCTCTTAAAACATTCGTTCATCCTCGAACGAGCATAGATTCATACCTGAAGTGGTGAAAAGATGAGGGTAACGACTGCGCATATCCTGCTCGATCTCCCAAGTCGCATCCTTGATCGGCTGACCCCGCCACTAAACGTTTACTGATGCAATATTCTTTAACCTCAGCATTCAAACCTACTAGCCACTGGCTCAACATAAGATAGATCCTTGTCCAACTGGACTGAGCTAAAATCCAACACGTGCGACGGATCATCATGATACCTCCGGAGCATCAAAACATGAAATACCAGATTAACTACTGCCAAGCTGGGAGGTAAGGCAAGCTCATAAGCAATCTTTCCAACACGTCGTAACACCTCAAAGGGACCAATAAACATTGGGCTCAACTTGCTCTTATTCCAAAATCTCATAGTGCCCTTCATAGGCGAACCTGAAGCAAGACCCGCTCTCCAACCATAAATGAAATATCGCGATCCTTCCAGTCCGCATAACTCTTTTGTCTGGACTGGGCTATGTGGAGTCTATCTTGAATCACCTTAACCTTCTCCAAAGCGTCCTGAACCAAGTCTGTGCCCAATAATCTAGCCTCGCCCGGCTCGAACCAACCCACCGGGGACCTACACCGCCTACCATACAGAGCCTCATACGGTGCGATTTGAATGTTGGACTGGTAACTATTGTTGTAGGCAAACTCCGCAAGTGGCAAGAATTGATCCCAGAAACCTCCAAACTCCATCACACATGCACAGAGTATATCGTCAAGAATCTGAATAGTGCGCTTGGATTGTCCGTCCGTCTGAGGGTGAAATGATGTGCTCAGCTCTACCCGATACCCAACTCATGCTGAACGTCCCTCCAAAATTGTGATGTGAACTGATTATCTCTATCTGAAATGATGGAAACTGGAATACCATATGCGAACAATCACCCGGATATAAATCTCAACCAACCTCTTTGAAGAATAAGTGGTACATACTTGGTCAGCCAATCTACAATCACCCAAATGGCATTGAACTTCCTCAAAGTTCGTGGGAGTCCAACTACGAAGTCCATGTTGATCCGTTCTTACTTCCACTCCGGAATTTCTATCTGCTGAAGCAAGCCACCTGGTCTCTAGTGCTCATACATCACCTGCTGAAAATTGAGGCACCGAGCTACAAACCCAACTATATCTTCCTTCATCTGCCTCCACCAATAGTGCTGCCTCAAATCCTGGTACATCTTCGCGGCACCCGGATGAATTGAATACCACGAACTGTGGGCCTCCTCTAGAATCAACTCCCGAAGCCCATCAATATTGGGTACACAAATCTGACCCTGCATGCTCAATACCCCGTCATCACCAATGGTCATATCTCTAGCATCACTCTGTAGAACATTGTCCTTGAGGACAAGCAAATGGGGGTCATCATACTGATGCTCCCTGATACGATCAAACAAAGAAGACAGAGAAACCACACAAGCTAGGACCCGACTAGGTTCCAAAATATCCAACCTCACAAACTGGTGGGCTAAGGCGTGAACATCCATCGCCATGGGCCTCTCTACTGCCGGTAGATAACCCAAACTCCCCAAACTCTCCGGCCGGCGACTCAAAGCATCGGCTACCACATTGGCCTTCCCCGGGTGGTATAAAATAGGGATATCATAATCCTTAAGCAACTTTAACCACCTCCTCTGACGCAAATTAAGGTCCTTCTGCTTGAACAAATGTTGCAAACTCCGATGATCAGTGTAGATCTCACAAGGAACACCATACAAATAATGATGCCAGATCTTCAAGGCATGAACAATAGTAGCTAACTCGAGATCATGGACAGGATAATCCTTATCATGCACCTTCAGTTGTCTGGACGTGTAGGCAATCACCCTACCGTCTTGCATCAGTAACGCTCCAAGGCCAATCCTTGAGGCATCACAATAGACAGTATAAGATCCCAAACCTTTAGGCAATATCAATATTGGGGCTATAGTCAAAGCTGTCTTGAGCTTCTGAATGCTCTCCTCACATTCTTCCATCCACCTGAACGGAGCACCCTTCTAGGTCAGCCTGGTCATAGGTGTTGTAATAGATGAAAGTCCCTCAACAAATCGATGGTAATAACCCGCAAAGCCAAGAAAACTACGGATCTTTGTAGCTGAGGATGGTCTGGGCCAACTCTGCACTACTTCCACTTTCTTCGGATTCACCTTGATCCCTTCACTCGATACCACATGACCTAAGAATGCCACGGAATCCAACCAGAACTCACATTTCGAGAACTTTGCATATAATTTCTTTTCTCTCAAAGTCCGAAGCACTGTCCTCAAGTGCTGCTCATTATCCTCCCGACTCCGGGAGTATACCAAAATATCATCAATAAATACAATGACAAACAAGTCAAGATATGACCGGAATACACTGTGCATCAAATGCATAAATGCTGCTAGGGAATTGGCCAACCCAAATGACATAACAAGGAACTCGTAATGACCATACCGAGTCCTAAAAATAGTCTTCGGGATATTTGGATCCCGAATCTTCTACTGATGATAACCTGATTTCAAGTCAATCTTAGAAAACAATTGAGCACCCTGTAACTGATCAAACAGGTCATCAATACGAGGCAAAGGATACCGATTCTTCACTGTAACTTTGTTCAACTGGCGATAATCAATGCACATACGCATATAACTATCCTTTTTCTTCACAAACAAGATAGGAGCACCCCAAGGTGACACACTGGGCCGAATAAAGCCCTTATCAAGCAATTCTTGTAACTGCTCCTTCAACTCAGGAGGAGCCATATGATAAAAAGGAGTAGAAATGGGCTGAGTGCCCAACAACAAATCAATGCCGAAATCAATATCTCTGTCGGGTGGCATACCCGGAAGATCAGCTGGAAACACATTAGTAAATCCCTCACTATTGGGACTGAATCAACTGTAGGGGTATCAATACTGACATCTCTTGCATAGGCTAGATACGCGTCACACCCCTTCTCAACCATTCCCTGAGCCTTAAGAAATGAAATAACTCTATTGTGAGTGTGATCTAAAGTACCTCTCGACTCTAGTCACAGTATACCTGGCATAGCCAGCGTCACGGTTTTGGCATGACAATCAAGAATAGCATAATGGGGCGACAACCAGTCCATGCCTAAGATAACATCAAAATCTACCATGCCGAGCAATAATAATCGGCTCTGGTCTCAAAACCACTAAGAGCAATCAAACATAACCGATAAATGCGGTCCACAACAAGAGAATCTCCCACAAGAGTAGAAACATAAATAGGGGAACTCAAAGAATCTTGAGATACGCCCAAATGCAGGGCAAAATAAGAGGACACATAAGAATAAGTGGAGCCTGGATTGAATAGAACCGATGCATCTCTATGACAGATCGGAACAATACCTGTGATGCCAGAATCGGAGGCAACAACCTCAGTATGGGCAGGAAGAGCATAGTATTTGTCCTGGACTCCCCCTATAAGGCGACCTCTACCTCGAGCTGGCTGAGCAGATAGGGTTGCAACTGGTGCTGTAATCATAGCCTGAAATCTCTGCGGAGCACGCTGTGGCTGGGAAGGCTATGGAGGTGCACCCCTCCT